GGTGGGTATGGGGTGGCCTGGGGCTGGAATGGGTATGGGTATGGGGTGGCCTGGGGTTGGAATGGGTATGGGTATGGGGTGGCCTGGGGTTGGTATGGGTATGGGGTGGCCTGGGGTTGGTATGGGTATGGAGTGGCCTGGGGTTGGGGGAAGGGTTGGTATGGGAACTGAGGATGGGGTTGGTATGGGAATTGAGGATGGGGTTGGTATGGGAATTGAGGATGGGGTTGGGGTTGTTGTAGTGACGGATGAGGTGTACCTAGGTGGTCCCCAGTGGTGTCGGAAGAGGTGCTGTCCTCTACACTTCCACTTCCACTCCCACTGGTCCCCACTGACTGGTCATTATCTGGGTTAAACATTTTCTGTGATTCCTGGTGTGCCACGTCTCTTCTAAACTACCCTATAGTACACCCTCGACCCGGACTCACTACAACCGTGATCTTACACAAATAATAATAACAAAAAAAAAATCGCAACTCTTCTCGTCTTCCAAGAGAAAACTACTAAATTCCCAAAATAGGAAATACGCCGATTTATCGAGAGAATCGCTGAAGTGAATCCAATGAATGAGTGTCTGCCCCGCACTCGTGTCTGACCGTGAAATATCCCGCAGTTCTATTGCTGAAACCTAAGTCCTTTACGTTAAAACAAATTAAGGAATCTAATTTATATAAAACAATTTAAATGATAACGCAACTAACGCGCAGCACTCGTGATGGAGTAATAAAGAATATTTACTGTACTTGAATACTAAACGCGCTTGAAGTGAGCAGCGTGGCCACTGATGACTGATGGAGCGGGACCAGCTGCGCTGAAAAAAACTAAGTCCCGCGCTTTTTCGCTTAAACGCTGAAAAATCAAAATTTTTGTTCTGAAGGAAAATAACTAGTTTTACGTTAATAAACCGCTCTAGCGATTAATATAGACACCCAGGACCTATAAATGCTTACTAAAAATTGAATTTTTATCAAAAACTGCGTTTTTACTCCATTGCTGGACTCTGCCAATTTTCCTGACTCCGAGGGAAAAATATTCTATCACCCCAAATATCACAAAACTCCTTTAATTCACAAAAATTTGGGTTTCTCGTTCCCAGATATAAATACGTTATTATTTACTACTGACGTTGTATGCAGAACAATACTGACACTTCGGGCGGTTTCAACACTCACTAATTCGATTTTTCGTCAAAATCCGAGATTTTCACCTCAAATGGACTCTGACAAAATTACAACACGATTTTCTCGAAAAATAACTAAATTCGGCAAAAAATGTAATTATCACTGTTTAATGCTTACGGACAGAATTACGTCCCTTGCGCGCACTAGAGAGTAATACTGGCCCCAGAATATACACAAAACATGAAAATTCGAATTTTCGCCAAAAAGTCAGATTCTAGCCCAAGCTGGACTTAGAAAATTTTCCACCTACGTTTCTACTGAAAACAGAATTATAAATCTACAAACACAATTCTACCGTCTTACTGGTAAAAACTAGAAAATATCACGCGCATCGACTGGGGAATCCTAATGACACCCAGATCATACACGTGACCCACGAATACAAATTAATTACAGTTAACGAGTTTCCGACATCGACTTAGCCGAAAACTTATCCCAACATACTTAGAAATATACCACGGACTCTAAAACTTTTAACAAAGCCAACTCCACGCCACGTGGTCCTAAGACGATTGACCGACTTAGGATTCTACACCCAGTATGACGTGACCTAAGCTCTGAACAAAACCCTAGAGTCACCTCTGCTGCCACCACCAGACCAGTAATACAAGAGCAATGATCGAGGTCTGGATCGATCACGCTAATTAATCAACCTAGGGGCTTGATCCCCACTATAAACGATGACCTTGAGTGTGGAATAAATTACACGGTAATGATAATTCCGATTCGATGTTAGAATCGGCGCCCAATGCAACTCTGCCTCGTGTGGACCACGTGACCAGGACAAGTATACACATAAAACACATGGAAACAATAAAATGCAAATTAATAACAAATTTAATTTATTAAAAGAAAACTAAAACAAAATCTAAATGTGTTCACTCCCTATCACTTTAACACTCCCTACTTGACCTGAGTGGCAAATGAGACTATTTCTATACATAACAATAGCAACTATACCTTGGGCGACCAGCTAGATGTTTTGGCTGGTCTTGGGGAGAGGTAAGATGTTTGACCTCTTATCCCAGCTGCTCCCGTTTCCACACTGATCTCCTCCTTGTCTGGACTACCCCAGACAAGAGTATTGTATCCTTCCGCCTATTCAAAGTTCTACCCAGTTACTAGCAAGGTTTAAGTTATAACAATTAACCTCTGTTTGTACTGAATTGATCCAGACTGGTTGAATTATTTTACTTTAATTAGATTACACAAACATCTAACGGCAAAGCTGTTCCCGATCACAAAAATGGTTATTAAAACTTTGAGAAATAGTAGACCTGTCAACCCCTGATGACCTATGACCGCCGGTCACTCCGCCTCAAAAGTTAGATCTGATTCGTGACGTCACTGATGGTGACTTAAACTCAATAATTAGAATACTCTTGATATTGTATCCAGTACTATTATACAATACAATTTTAATGCAAAATGAATAAAGGCTAATTTTCTCTAAATTACTGAATACTATAGGATGATTCATTATACGCAGTTATGAACAAAGCGTCGGTTATTTCCACCGCGAATTCCCCTGGGGGTCAGGTCACCATGCGGCTCAGCTTCCCATTCTCTTTTGTCGATAAACCACTCTGGATAATTCTTACAACAGCCTAGTTTGTTACACTGCCTCCAACACTGAGATGGGACAGCAGAATAATACTGTGGTCTCAGTGCTATCATTCATCCTTACATTTTTGTGACTAGCTAGAACCTCACCAACATGCAGGAGTGCAGCTAGCCTGTCGCATTGTTCTTCAGAGTAGACCTTAACAATATGTGTGCTAGATTGCTGGGAACAAAAGGCAACGTTTGAGCCAATGCACTGGAACAGGCAGAGACACAGCAGGAGATCATAAACTTAACACTTCAGAATTTTCTACAAATTACCTATTTAAAATTATCCGTTAGATTAAGGACCTGCCTGAAGCACTATGTGTGTGTTAGTGGCTTTACAAGAAGGTAAAAACGCGAGCGTAGGATATGCCCGCAAAAGGGGTGAGACGATGAGCTTGGCGTCTCGCTTCAGGAAAAGACAGACGATCACGGTGCTTCAAGTTGAGGACGGCTTCTTCGAGTTTGCAGTGTACACACGAGCGTGAGAAAGTAGGGTGGGCCTCACCGCAATTGAGGCAGTGAGCCTGGGGAGAAGTGCACTCGGACTTAGAATGACTATCATCCCCACACATGGGGCACAGATACATAGTACTGGTGCATTTGAGGACACCGTGCCCGAACTTCCAACACTTATTGCAAAGTCTAGGGGAGAGAATGTACTCCTGAACGGAGCATCTGGCACCAGCAAGAATAGAGGGCGGAAGGGTCCTACTATTAAAGGTGATTTTTACAACTCGAAGGAGCTGTCGGCAACGACCACGAGGGGGTCGAGTAAACGTGTCCACCTGGAGGACAGAATGGCCTTGGGCTTCAAGGATATGTTTACTATCCTCATGGCAATCTTTGAGGTCCTGAACACCAGTTGCAACATGGTGTGGGAGGAGAACAATGCCAACACTGGCATTTAACCGAGCGTTTTTGGAGACCCGAACAGGGGTCTCTCCAATGCAGGACAAAGCGGCTAAGCGAGTAGCTGCATCCTGAGAAGGAGCAGCGATGACACGCGTACCGTAACTGGTGGAGTTAAAAGTAACAGAGGCATCTACTGAATCAACAAGGTGTTTATGGAGGGAGAAATCGTCAGGAGGAGTAGAATCCAGATGGTGGAGATCAAAGTATTTAGCCCACGTAGCAGGACCAAACAAGGCGTTGTAAGTAGTATTACGGGAAGGGATCGTGCGAGTGCGGCCGTGGCGGGAACGGCGTTGAGAACCCCCAGAGAGAGAGGGGATACGAGGCATAGTAGTCACAATGAGAGACGAAGCCGTGCCAGGGGATGAAGTGGTCACCACTGGGGGCTGGGGACTCGACCCTACCGCAGAGGAGGGAGGGGAGCTGAGGGGAGTATCCAGGTCGTCGGGGCCCAATGCAGCAGGGGCTACAGGGCCTGGTCTTCCAACACAGTCCGACTCGGGGGCTTGGTCACCCACCCCACGAGCCTGAGAAAGTACAAGGGAAACATTATCAGCCATGAAAACGAGGGAAAACTTTCATTCACGAATGTGCCCCCACACCCACCATGGAGCCACAATTAGAGGCAGGACACCCAACAAGAAGCTATCACCGATCTTGCCGGGGGTCCCCCAGGGGTGCGTCGTGAGTATACGCCCCATAAACGCCACCTTAAGAACCGTGAGTCCATCGAGAGCGGGTTCAGTGACGAAAGGAGGATTGACAATAAAAGGGTCCCCTCGCTCGAGACGTTGGGTACTACAGTTCTACGGGTGCAAGAGTATGCCTCCTCAAACACCCGGGCGTCAAAACAAAAGAAGGTCGAAAGAATAATCAAAACAGTCAAAAAGTCGGCAGGAAATGACAATTTGATAGGAGAAGAGGGGGAAGAAAAATGAAACAAGAGGAAAAGGAAAAGGGGTCTGGCAAAATTGGTAAAGGCAGCAGCAGGAGCATAAGGCTGCAAAAGGACAGAGGACTGACCCAAGGAGCATCACACTCCGGCAGCTGCCCACTAAGCCACCTCACGGCGACAACGGGCCAGACAGTGAGGGGGTATTTCTGAGAGCAAAGGAAGCTGTGTAGAGCTTCACAGGAAAAAATACTTGCCTTAGAAGGAAGGCAGGCAACAATGAAGTGTAGTGTAATATAAAACTGTATTTAGTAAAAGAACACAGCACAGTGGCACAGCTGATACAAACTGTGCAAAGATATTTAAATACTTAAAGGGATGAATTGTAACTAAAGAAAACAACATTTACATTCATAATTTTTAATTCATGCTGCCCTGTAATGTTTCAGTACTTTAAGCTGGACAAGAAATGTTATTGTATCTCAACCAAGACCAGCCGAGTAATGCATAGGTTAAAACACACACGATCACACTTGACAGTATTGACACATGCAGTTATCACACACACAATATATCAATGATTTGTGTGTTAAATTAATGATTTTTTGTCTTTTTTGAATATTACCATCTTCAGTAATATGACCATGAATTTATCATACTTGAGCATACTGAATTTCAACGGTGATTTTTACACTCGTACTACAATGAGCTTGGATTAATTTCTCGGGTGATTAATGTGACTAATATACGTTTGTCAAGAACTATTACAAATATGAGATCAGATATAACAAGACACCACTTCTAACACACCTCAGGTCACACTCCTTAGTGAATATTCTCTACAAATCTTACTTTGATAGGACAAATGGGATTCAAGCCAAAAACTTCAGTAAATTTTGAAACTGATAACCAATCATCTACTTTTGTTTCCTCCAAAGGAGTGTAATAGCCTAAGGAAGTTCCATTAAAATGTATATATGTAGACCAATCTGTTTCAAATAAGCAATTGAGAACATTTTACTGCAAGATCTTGTATAACAGTCCTGTTTCTTCCTTCCTTTAAGCCGTTCTACAAAAATTAAGGAATAAACAACCTGTCAAACATGATGCGTTTTAAACTGCTTTATGCACTACACAGATATGCCACAAAAGTGGCCGTAAGGAATACTACAAATGCACATCTCGACTGAACAAGCTAACATTACCTACACCAAGAGACAAAACTGAATTTTACAGTAATATGTCCTATACTCTTGAACACTCTCTTGGCTAGAATTTAAAAGAATAATGATACAGCAACAACATTACATTTGCCCTAGAGGAGAGCAGTGTAAAAAACTGAAGGCTGGAAACTCAATGCATGGCACCGATTCTAATTACAATGACCAAATCACACACACCAGAAGATGAAGAAACTATGACGTTTCGGTACCTCCTGGACCATTATCAAGTCGATTGTGACTTGATAATGACAATCAAGACACACGACTTGATAATGGTCCAGGACAGACCAAAATGTCATCGTTTCTTCATCTCCTGGAGTGTGGTTTGGTCATCGTATCTTCAGCTGCGTTATTGTATCTCGTCATCTGATTTTAATTACTGTAACTTAACATCAATTTTTAAAATTTATTTCAATAAAATAACCAGATTCTACAGTATTACTGTTAAAACAGCCCGATGTCTCCAGGAACAGCCTAGCAAACCACAGGACATCACAGGTTTGACTCGGTATATGAAGGTTTCATACATCAAATGAATGATTATTCTAGATTTTGATGATACACAATTTAAAGTGAAATGAAAATGATATGCATTTAACTTACATGATGCAAACAGTCATTTAGATCTCTCTACTAACATATAGAAAAATCAAAATATGGTGGCTCATACAAAACAAGTTATTACAAATGTATGTACAAATAAATTGTTGTGCCTTCTCAAATATGTACAAATAAATCACAAAAGCAGTATACATGAAACTGCAGTAGTACCAATAAAAAAATTACACCTGATCTGCCTAACAGATTATACAACGGCTTGAGATCAGCTGACGTCATGTTGTATTACAAGAGTATACAGTAGTCAATACTCCCCCCCCCCCTTCCCCAGACTCTCAAGTCACTACATTAATGTCATGCACCATATCTATTGCATTTTGAAAAACCAGACTTTTACTAAAGCATAAGTAAGTTCAGGTAACAAAATCAGTTCCATTACGGCACTTGTCACAAAAATGTTAATTGTCAGTCCTATATATATATATATATATATATATATATGACTCTGCGAGGAGGAATTTTTAAGTTGTAGATCAAATTTTAAAAAATTTATTTAACATCTGAGGTTAAATTGGAGAGAAACATCAGTGAAAAACGTGAACACATTATGAGACCTATTGGTCATTCTCTTTAGTATACCTCCTCTTGTGCCAATAGCAAGTACATATGTTACACACATCCATACTCATACCAAACAGAATTATCAACAATGTCCTTTCCAGTTTTCAAAGGAGTGTCATCTGTAGGTGGTGGCCGTGGTGGAGGTTTGGGAGGTTTAGGATCAGGAATGTCGGCGGGTGACGAGTGACTAGAAACGAGGGAATCGGGTTGGATAATGTTGGACCCACGACGAGATCTAGGAGGAACCTGCGGTGCACTGCAAAAGGAGAGAGAGCATTAGGCTAAAGAATAAATCTGGTAACAATTGATTTTCCCAAAAATTCACCGATGCCTAAAATTACTGGCAACTTTTAATGTATATTTTAATAATTATAAACCAATGGTAAATGTAATGAAAATATGTCTTTCTTGTGGGTCACTCGGTATTTTCTAGAGCTACGCACAAGAGACTTAGATGATCTAGGGGTGGTTCTAGATACAAAACTGTCATCTGAGGATCATATGAAACCAGCATTGAATGTAATGAAACAATTTTCTGGGTAGAGCCCCGGAGGTTCTCTGGAGCTATTGGACTGATATTAGCTAATATTAGTATGGGGGGGGGGGGGTTTAGTCATATGGAGTTGTTATGCCTACAGGGGACCAATAGCCACAACATAGTCCCCTCAGAGAGATGCAGGGAGCAATGGCCTATTAAACTCATGTATGAAAGTGCAGTATTCATGTCTGCCATCAACCGGGGTTGAGCACCCAGAAAGGTAGGCGCTCCAAAACAGACCTCTCCTGATAGAAAAAATTCCAACCTCAGGCCGAACAGAGGCTAGAAACTTCCACAAGGAAAACAAGCTCACCACTCGTTCATGCCGTCCCCCCAACCCCAGAGGGGGAAAGTGGGGGGGGGGGGGTCCCGGCCCACCGAGCTGGCAGCCGGACCGTCAGTTTGGAGGCTGAAAATGGAAACAAAAACTGGGGGGAGGGTGGGAGGGTGCCAAGAAGCCTCTGGTGCGCTACCCAGAAAATGGCATCTCATTACATTCAATTCTGGTTTTCTGTAGGAGAGCCCTGTTGACTTTCTAGAGCTAACTATCCAAAGAGCAGGAAAACAGGGACTTACCTGGGAGGCGGCTGCACCGCACCACTCATAACAAAGAGGAGACAACTGGCTGCAACCGCCGACCCAGAGGGGCCCAGCACATTAACAGCCAGGACCCTGTTCGATCTCCAAAACCCCAGTGCCCAAATGTCAGCCGAACACCAGACCTCAGCCCACTAGCTAATGCTACCACAGCTCCTGACACAGTGACCTTCTACACTGCCCCCAAGCACTCACGCCATTCCTTTAACCGTGATACTAATTTCAATGCAAACCTGGACGTGTGATCTGCGCGGGGTGGCAGTCGGGGAGTGGTTGGGATATCATCATCTATTGCTCGTTCTCTTCGAACACCAGACTTTGGCGTTGATACCAGTGGAGGTCCTCCTGGTGTAGGGGAGTGGGGTGTAGAAGGGGGAAGGCTGCTGTGAACACTGCTGTAACTCCTAAGAAAAAAGATTAACATTAGATCTTAATAACACTTTATAGCAAATACTGTACAGCCCAAATAGGCTCAAATTCGAGCCCAATAGGCTCAAGAATCTGTATATCAGTTGACTGACATTTGAAAGGCGGAACCAAAGAGCCCAAGCTCAAGCCCCGCAAGCACAACTAGGTGAGTACAGTTCTTTATAAGAATACAAGGCACAAAAAACCACACACACACACAATAGCTAAAGCACTTAAACCGTGTATAAGAATGCATAGTACTGCTAACAAAATAATGTCAAACATGTGATTTAAAACAGATCATGTGATTGGTTTGGACGTCATGCCAGACAACTGTGGCCACATCAATAGGAAAATGTACAACCATTTCTCACCCTGATGTTTCACTACTGAGTTGCTGAATACCTAGAGGAAAGTCCTGGGATATCTTTTACTCACACAATTGAACTAATCCAGCTTTACTTACTACCAGAGCTTTCAACTTTTTCCAGTGTTTCTGTAAGTGTCTTGGAAAATAAGACAAATTTTTAACGAGTAACTAGGCTTCGCAGCCTACTTTAGCTCGATTGGCCTTATATATAAAATGCATTCCCTGATTATAGGAAAAAAATTAAATGTAACTTACTTTGGCAGTGAAGCATTTAAATCGTGTACTCACCTAGTTGTGCTTGCAGGGGTTGAGCAGTTGAGCTTTGGCTCTTTGGTCCTGCCTCTCAAATGTCAGTCAACTGGTGTACAGATTATGGAGCCTAATGGGCTCTATCAAATCTATATTTGAAGCTGTGTATGGAGCCTCCACCACATCACTGCCTAATGCATTTAATTTGTTAACTACTCTGACAGTGATGAAATTCTAATGTCTCTGTGGCTTATTTGGGTACTCAGTTTCCACCTGTGTCCCCTTGTTCGTGTTCCACCTGTGTTAAATACTTTGTCTTTGCCCACAGTCAATTCCCCTGAGAATTTTGTAGGTGGTAATCATGTCCCCTTACTCTTCTGTCTTCCAGGGACAAGAGGTTTAGCTCCTGTAGTCTTTCCTCATAGCTCATACCTCTCAGTTCTGGGACTAGTCTAGTGGCATACCTCTGATTCTTCTCTAACTTTGCCTTGTGTTTATGAAGGTATGAACTCCAGACTGGAGCTGCACAGTGGTATACAAGGTCCTGAATGATTCCTTACACAAGTTTCTAAAATTTGCGATTGTCACAATTCACAATGGGTGACAGAACAATCGCCCGTTGGGAGGGAGTTGCCGCGAAGAAATTTTTAGATATTTATTTCAGTCTGATTTTTTCTCTATTTTTTCTACAAATATTATTCAATAGTGTGTTATTTGAGAAATTTATATAATAAAATGAGAGGAACATTGGAATCTTCAACTATTATATAAATGACAAATATTATTAATGTCACTAATATGTGTACAAAATTATATTCTTAGGACAATAAAACATATCATTTTTGCTGTTATTACACTGTATATACATACATATGTTATATAAAACTACATTTCATGCACCATTACGAACCACTAAGCAGTTCTGGTACATGTAATAACCTCTCCACCATGCAGTCGTCTGTTTTGATTTGCCTATCTTTCTGGGTGCCTTCCCTTGGTGGTGGCAAAGATGACAATGAAAACCTTAACATGTAAAGTGATCACAGGCCATCGCTCCCTGAGGGAATGGGGGCCAGGTTCTGGCTCGTGGTACCCGGTACCTGATTCATTTACCTGTAACTGCATACATTGAATACAGTAATTAACCTGACACTAGTGGCCTCAACGAAGACAGGAAGCCAGCAGTTTGTCGAAGGTCCCCCCCCCCTCCCATTTGACTTGATATTCTTTTCCAGTTGGATTTTGAAATTTGGCAGTCTTGGTATTTACGGCTCTGGCAGGTGGCCAGTTCTATGGGTTTGATGACCTAGCAACACATCATAATATGAAGAAACAATGATATTTCGGTCCATCCTGGACCATTATTAAGTCATGTGACAGAAGAGAGGAATAATGTTGTTGTTTTAGATTCAACTACTCAGAACAAAAAAGTTCAAAGTAGCAGCTATCGTGAGCTCGTAAGTGGAGGCTCTTTGGAGCCATTATCTGTATCAGTAACTGATACTAGAGATCCGGGGGATGGGGTTCATGGACGCACCAATGCAATCCAAGAGCAGGACTAAGCGGAGGCTCTTTCGAACCATTACCAGTACCAAAAGCTGATACTGGAGATCTGTGGATGGTTGGGGTATTCATGGTGGATTTCAGCCTCAGAGGGCTGGCTGTACCAGTTATAGAGCTGGTGGGTTAGTGCAGACCTGTAGATCTTCCATTTTTTTCTTTGGCCAAGACTTTGGGTGAGCCGTGCCATCGTTGGAGTTTGGTGAGGTGGCAGAAGAGAGGAAGGTACAGCCAAATACATAAGGTAACAGAGTAAGATGAGAGGTGAGGAGTAGGTAAGAGAGTGAGGTGAGGAGAAGGTAAGGATAGGATGAATGTAAGAATAAAGTAAGAATAGGATGAAAGTAAGAATAGGAAGAGGGATATGAATAAGGTAAGAAAAGGATGACTGTAAGAATAATACCTCACCCTTTGAGAGAGGGTGAGAGTTTTCTTGGTTGCTCACTTATGCATTACTTGGAGTGTATTCAAATTTAAAACCTTTCCCCAAAGTACCACTTTGGTTGTAAGACAACTTGACCAAATTTCGATTGTGCCTTTAACCTCTTATTATTTTAAGACACTTAAAATTGTTTAAAAAGATTTTGAAGGGAGGCAAACCCACCTGCCTCAAAGTTGAGGAATTCTCAGAAAAAATGCCACAAAACGACACATAATTAAAAGAATGGGAGACGATAGTGTTATTAGGTTGATTATGAATGAGCGAGTCTATCTCGACTGATTCCACACCTGTGCTGCTGTGTGATGGGGTGCTGTTTGGGATCTTGTCTGTCTGAAAATATTTAAAAGTAGATGTACAGATTTGGGTGAAATTTGGTGAGAATGTTGGAGGCTCAATAAATATACCATTCAAACTTAAAAAGTTACAAAGTTACCAACATTTTTTATATTTTGCTACAGAAATCTACAAAATAAGTGATACGTTTGAAAAAACCAGCGTTGAATGTAATGAAACGCCATTTTCTGGGTGAGCCCCGGAGGCTCCCTGGAGCTTATCGGGCTAATGTTTGTTATATTCGACCAGGACATTAGCTAAGGAGTTCAGACCTACCAGGGACCAGCGCCAGAACCTGGCCCCTTCAGAGAGGTTTCAGGGAGCAATGGCCCTGGAAAACCCCTTGTGGTTGGGGTTTTCCTTATCTGCCATCCGGGGTTAGGCACCCAGAAAGGTAGGCATAACAAAACAAACCCCACATGGTAAAAACTAAAACAAAAACCGAACATAGAGGTAGAAACTCCCTACAATCACAAGGAAACAAGCAAACATCACACTTTACTGCCGCGCCGATCGTCCGCGCAGCCCTCCCCGCCCCGGGAGGGGGAGGGGGGAGCCCCGGACCTACCGCGCCGGCTGCCAAGCTCCAGTTCGGAAGCTAAGCTTCAACCAACGCGAAAAAACCGCCGACCGGTGGGAGGGAGGGTTGCCAGGGAGCCTCCGGGGCTCACCCAGAAAATGGCGTTTCATTACATTCAACGCTGGTTTTCTGTGGGGAGCCCCTACGGCTCCCTGGAGCTTCATACCCAAAGAGAAGGAAAAGAAAGGGCTAACCCGGGAGGCGGCTGCCACAAACTCTGCAACGCAAAGCCAAGACAACCGGTCGCAAACCTGCGACCCAAGGCAACAAGAACGCCCAAGAGCAGACGCGCATAAGGATGGGCGGCCAAGAACCTGTGCGACCCACAAATCCCTGCGCCCGAAATGAGCCCGAGACGTCGCCAACACAGCAGCAAAAGCTGCAAACGTCTGAACAGCACGGGCGCAAAGACAGACCGCAGGCTGGAAGAATGAAAACACTGCGGACGACCTGGGAGACCCGAGCCCTGAAAACAGGGAACGAAGGAACCGGATCAACCACAGCGCATCCCCAGACACGGTAATGGCAACAGCAAAAAGCACAACCGGACAACACAGGACGCACCCCCCGGCCAAACCAATCAAGTACCAATACCCCAAGAACCCCTCCGGAAAGCAGCCGTCTCGACCGTCGCCAGGACAGAGAAAGGCTGCACACCTATAAAGCTACCACCAGTACCAAAGAGCAGGAAACTGAACCGAAGGGGCTACCACAAACTGAGGGGAAGATAAGAAGGCACCCTGAACAAGGACCAGGATGGCTCAGGCGACGCATGAGCAGGCCGGAGGGGAAACAAAACATGAGAAAACGTATGAAACGTCATACTGTCGCCAAGACGAAGCTCGCAGGTGGGACACCGTCAACAAAGCCACCTGAACACCATAGAGATGGTGATACCCGCGTCAAAATACCAGACGCGAAGAGCCAAGGAGAAGGCCGAACCAGTCACGGACAGGACCGATTCGGCCTGCTGAAAGAGGCGGAGCCTCAGGAAAAACGCCCCGGGTACGGACACCTATCAAGCAGCGTCTGAAAAGAAGGCCGGGCCGGCCACCATGGAACCATAAGGACTGTTCTCGTGGGAATGGGCTGCAACCGAGCCAGAATCCGAAGCAACAGCTGGACCGGGAGAAGAGGAACAGGTACCCCCCACCTCGACCAGTCCTGCCGAAAGCATCCACCGTGAAGTCCTCGCAGGTGGGAAAGGGCGCCACAAAATGGGCGACGCCTAGACCACGCTGACCCGAAGACGTCCATGGCCAGGAGTCCATACGCCCGACAGAGCCAACAAAACGAATCGGCGACGACTGGCCAACCCACGAAGAGGAATGAACCGAGACAGCTGTCCGCCAGGACGCAGGACACACCCCGGACACGAACCTCACGGTTAGCCAAACCCCTGTGGTTCCGGCAAGAACCACCAGAGAACAGTCCGAACAGAGCTGAATGGTAGAGTACCTAG